ACTGACTTGTGTTTGGGGGTTAATAACGACTGAATTTTTTAGTTTGGGCCAAAATTTTTAACAGCATTGTGTGCGTTGATCAATTCTGAGCTCAGGGACATATATTCTATTCTGATTATACGCGTTTGTATTTCAAAACTTCCAGCGCTTTAAAGAGCGCCGGGCCTTCAGTAGAGCGGCGAGGTGACAATTGCCCCTACATCATGTGGTTTACTTGCGCATATCTCGAAAAGTAGCAGGGAAAAGCAGCAAAGCACCTATATGGAACGAAAGATGAGTAATCAGAGGCTAGTATAAAATGTTCATTTTTAGCTGCTCGAAATCACATTTTTATAAAAGTCTAATTAAAAAATTAGATATGATTTTTAATTACGTCTTGCAGCTGCTTGCAAAAAGCTAGCTTATCTTGCAGAAAAGCGATGCAATATGTAAGAATGATGTTGGCACAGTGAACAACAGTGCCCTAAACTAGTCTGTGAGGAAATTTCGTTCAAAACGACGATTGGTCAGCTAATAAATTACCACTGAAGAGCACCATGAAAATCGGTAAATGTGGTGGCCACTAGAGAGTCTAAATTGTCTTGTGTTTGGTGACAACTGACGACCTCAATTTTGACCTTAGGGAAAAACTGGCAGCGGAATCGTATTCTTCGATCAATTTGGGATTAAATGATATCTATTTTGTTCATATTGCGGAGAGTCAGTTTGGGGGAATTTCTAGCGCTTTTTCGGGCTGCCGGCCTACAGTGCGCCCCCCGCGCCGACCCAGGGTGTATCGGCGCCGACCGGCCGCTGGGTGGCCGCGCGGCGGCGTCCCCGGGTGCCGCCTACCGCCTACTTAGTGACCGCGCCTGCTGTACCGCCGGGCGCGACCTGACACTACCATCGTAGTGCGGTGGCGGACTCATGCCGGTGTATGTTCTATTCAGCGTGTATGTTCTGTTGCATGTTACTTTCTTCCATTTTCCATTTCTACTTGGTGTCACGGGCAAATTGTATCAGTTCTGGCTCCTGTACATAATCTCCAGGGACATTTTACACCCGGCCTACCATCAGTGGCGGAACGGAGGGGGGCACCGTGGCCATGCCCCCTTGCTTTTGCCATTTTAACATTAGCCCTATGGGCGTTGCATGGAAAGAATGGGACCAAAAGTCGGCAGTGCCCGCCCCCCCCCCCCCCCCTTAATTGAAGGTGTTCTGCCACTACTGCGGCCTACATGCCTCCTCTGTCCTTCGGGTTCCCACGGTCATCTCCCTTTTTATGTTCCGATCCGTTTCAGTCCGTGTGTCCCGTCCCACGCTGGGAGGGCGCGGCGCGCGCCGCCGGCAGCTGCCGCGTCCTCCCGGAGCGGGCCCGGGCCGCGCGCCGCTCAACCCTTTCTTTTCGTCATCTGGCCGGGCCGCGCCACCAGCCGCCCATACCGTGGGCCGTTTAACCCGCTCGCCGCGTGACGTCAGCAGTCGGCGAGGCCGCCAGGTGGGCCGACGGCCGCGGGCGCCGGGCAGCGTCGCCGCCCGTCTGTCCGTCCTTCCCCGCTCGCCCGCCGGCCGACCGGCCCCACTCGTCAGGGCTGGCCATACACTGCGGGCCGGTGACGAGTTCCGACTTCGCGATGGCAGGGATTGGATGGCGATGGCCCGAGTCATGTTTGGCCTGCCGTTCGCTTCTTTGATGTCGTATATTGGTGGTTAGAATATGCAAGACAGAATGTTGTACGTTTTCGACCCTTGGGACGCTCTCGGAAAGAGGATTCTGAAATTCTGATTATAGATCGTTGGAAAAGTCGAATGTCTGGCGGTTTTCACGGAAATTGGAACAGGATATTTGAAGTGGTTTCAGTAGCTGATTAATTTGGTGGCGACTTTTGCACTTTTCCTTTCTTTTCTTGGCATTTTCGGTGCTGGACTATTTTTGCGATGTCATTTGGTGCGATGTTTGTCATTGCATGTGGATGGACTGTTACAGTGAACTACAGATAATGTGGCGGCTGTGAGCTTGTCCCATTGTAATGGAAACCTGTGCCGTATCAACTTGATTAAATCAAGTATTTTCAATGTTTCTTTCTACCAGAAATGCTTTCTGCTGCTGTCAAAACCAAAAAGGTAAAAACACTGCTGAAGCATTCATTATATTCGGTAATCGAGCTTGTCATCTTCCTACACGAAATGTGAACATTGACGTGGATATTGTCATGACATTACAGTCGCTTGTCGTTCTTGCCTTAACAAGTGGACAGTACTCACGATTATTCGTCCGAAATCGACAACACGTCCTCGCTCCCATCGTCGCTCTGCCCCGATAACTCAATGCCTCTGCCTTTCTGTTCCCGGTACTTACCACTTCCTATTAACCCTACCACACTCTTACCTCTCTGTCGTTTCCCTCTTGTTCATTGTTTCCTGGTGCCCTCCCGTCGAGATGGACACCAGTGTGACCCGGCTCTGCTGTCGTCTGACCCCAGCCTTTTCCCGCAGGTCACCAGCAGATGGCGGGGGTGCAGCAGTAGACGACACGGTCCCCCGGATCGCAACGACTTCCCTTCATAACAGGTGAGTGGATGGAGTGTTGGTCTAACGGTTCCTACTTAAGCGTTGTGAGATGGGCGGTTTGTTGTACCGTGATTATCGTTATAAACTTTAGACTTAGTGAAACTGACAAGCATCTCAATTTTTTTGTATAAAACTGTCTGTAACAAAGATTGTGTCTCGCTTCGCAAGAATTGCGCATTGAGTCATTTGACGGCTTACCTTCGAGCATACTCTTCACTCTACAATGAATTGAGTCTCCGCTCTCGCAGTCCTGGTGAAGAAGAGTTTTTGTGTCTCTAGAAAAACCTTTGGAGAACCGGCACGTCTTATCGATACTTCATTCAAGAGGTCGTTTGTAGAAGGCCCATTACCAAAGTTACCCGCCGACTTAAACGCGAGATAAACGCCAACTTACCCGCAAACCACTCACACGCGACCTACCCGCGTGTGGAAGTCTCCAGCAACTGTAGTGGTGGTGAAACTGACGGGCATCTTGTTCAGTGCTCGCACAAGCATTAGAATTAGTTGCTGTTACCGAACATGTTAGGGCTTTCCGGGTCGTTTTTTTCCGAAATGAACATGCATCGTCGAGCTCACGGCTTGTTTTAGCGAAGCGGCTCATAGGTCAGGGCTGGACCGCCTATCTATCTCGACTCCAGAATCCACCATACTGTTTCTGGCTCACGTTCCGCAGCACTGGCACGCTCGCTATGTTATGCTATGCCACGCTATGCCCTGCTGCCCTTTATCGTCCCGCCCACCAGGTAGGTAACCGTCCTCAGGCCCAGCTCCCTCAGCAGTGATCGGTATCAGCCGGTCCGTCTCCGTCCGTAACTTATTCATGTCGGCGGCGGCGGTCAGTCAGCGCCGGTGGGCGGTCCGCTGTCCAACCCCAGTGTCGCCGCGCCGCTCCGACGGTGACCGCCCACGGAAACGGTTCGCCGACACCGACACCAGCGCCGCCCAGCGGAGGAAACTCACAACTCGGACGAGTCCACCGCATCTCTGACGGGGGAGGCCGCTGCCTCCGAATCAATACGAGCGGAAGGACTAAAATTAGTATCTCACGTACGCGAGAGCGCGCGCTGGTACCGGCGGCGGCGCCGACTACAGGAGTGGCCCACATTGCCGGAGCGCGTGGTGCGTGCGCGCGTGGGACTGTTGGGAGAATTGGCGCGCCAGGAGAGGAGACTCGGTCGGCGGTGAGTGAGCGCGCCGGCCATGGGGCCGTGAGACGGGCACGTGCGCCGGCCGGCCGACTCACCTGTGTGCTCGGCGACCGCCGCTGCCCGGTGAGCCGGCGGCCCGGAGCGTCCGCAGGGCACCCGGGGATCGGGCTGTGTCTGCTGCCCCGCAGCTGAGCTGACCGTGTGGTAGTGGTGCTTGATCAGATGGTATGTGTCGCTGGTATGCTGATCGTTGAATGTGGTGCAGTGTGTGACCCGCCCACTCCAGGGCATTTCCGCACCCCGGCCCTTTAAATGCATTATTTGCTGCGGCTGACACCTGTCTGCACTGCTGACCGACCTTGCCTTACCTGTCCCGCCTCCACCTGTCCCGGGTAGTCCCACCTGTCCCATCGGCCCCACCTGTCCCCTACCCTGTCCCGGCACGCAGGTGTGGTTTGTCCGCGGTACTGGGGGAATCCAGACCGGCCGCTGCCATGTCCAGTGCTCCCATTCATGGCCCGGCCCCCGGCGAGTGTGCCAGGTGGGGTTGGCGCTGCGTGGCAGGTGCCGCCGCTGTCAGCTCCGCCGAAAGTCAAGGTCAGGTGGCCGGTGTTGACAGCCGCGCGGTCTGCCGGTTCGTCGGGCGGTGCTCGCCGAGTGCCGCCATGTGACCATCACGTGATCTCCGCTGACGTCACCGCTGAGCGGGTGACGGAGGGTCACGTGTGAGTCACGGGCCGTGTCGACCCCTCGGGTGTGTAGTTTACCGTCCGTTCGGCCGGCCCGGGCCGCTGTTGTGGTGCTGTCACGCCGCGGGCCAAATAGCTGACCCACTGGGCAGCCGGGGTCTGTCGTCCTCCGCCCGGGGGCTTCTCTTGTGGCCAGCTGGACACAAAACAAACAAACAGCAGGGCACAGCCCCGCCGGCGTCCGACGCCCTGCCTCTGCCGCCGTGGCGACATGGTGAATGACCTTGGGCATTGGTGAGACGCGGTGTGAGCCCATTCCAGGGTTCTGTTCGATGTTCGTCGCTCTATCACTGGATGATGTCTGTTCTATACCGTGGACTGAGTATTCACTGGTTAATGGATAGCTCAGGTGATTATTTTAAGTGTGATGATTGCATTTGGATCGGACAGATCGTCTCACGCTTACCGTGATATCTGGCCTCACAGGCTGTGTTTCCCCGGTAGTGCGTGATCTGTTTGGCTTTTTTCTCTGCCGACAGTAGTACCGCTCTCGTGTCCCGGCCCGCGGCAGAGGAGGCGCGTGCCGCCGATATCTTCCCTCTCCGCTATCTGAGCTATCAGCTCCGGCTGTCCGTATCGGCTGGCCGGCTCCGCGTATCGGTCCGCCGGCGTCCGGACGGTGCTCTCCCGTCGTGGAGGCGTGGAGTGTATCGCTCGCTGCTGCTCCCGTGGTGGGTGTGTACTGTGTAAAGTGCGCCGACGGGCCACAGTTACTCCCGTTGTAGGGGTGTGGAATGTAAAGTGCGCCGGTGTATCACCACCAACACCCACTACTGACTACAACTACTGCTCAGGAGTATGGCGGTACGTGAGGGGAAAGGGGGCGACATCTGCCGCCTCAGTTCTATTTACCCACTGCGGGGAGAAGCGGAACTGGATAGTGCGCGAGCGGTGTGCTCCTCCGATGAACTGCGGGTACAGGAAGTGGCGTGTTCCGCTGCAATCGATCGATTTACTAGTTTCCGCGGTATTCCCGTTTTCCTTGTTTCTGGACCTCGCCGGCTGGTCACGCTGATGTTAGGTATATGTCATCGAAGTAGTTCGTTCCTCCTTTTCCTTGTCTCCGTATGTAACTGACCCTCCCCGGGCGCGGATAGCCAGGACAGGCTGTGCATCATAAAACCCAGTATCCCTCCAACCTCACAGAGTGCCGGAGTCGGTATTCATTCAGCATCTCCAGGCCATCAGTCATCAGCCATCTCTGTGGCATACTGACTGCTGAGGATGCATATTCCGTGTGTCTCATCGCAAACAGGGCCACTCGAAGGCCGCGATGTGGCTCGACCTGGCTGCCCATCCCATTGATCGACTCACGCACCCCTTGTGAATCCAAGCCGCAGGGTTTGTAGAATTGACTTCCACACTTGTCACCTTCATTCTTCGTTGTGCGATCACAATTAAACTTTTTGGCAGTGTTCCCCTATGCGGTATGCCTGTCTCCCTTCGAATCACCCATGGCATCTGCTGCGGTTCGTGGCCTGCGGGCCAGTCTCCGCCGGTGCCCGCGCCGCGGTGCCGTTGGGTGACCTTGGCTCGCGCGGCGCTCGGCCGACGGGCCGCCGTACCGCGCCTCCACCTTGTGTGTGTGTGTGTGCGGGGCGTGACGTCACAGGTGATTCAGCCGCCGGCTGTCAGCTGGCTGCGGCGGGAGATCGGACGCCGCTGGCTCTCGGTCGGGTAGAGAGTGCGCCAGCGTCTGCGGCCCGGGGCAAGGCCGTGCGAATCGGGTCAGCCGCGTACGCACGTGCCGCCGAGGAGAGAGCGCGTCTGCCGCGGCTGGCCGCAGCTGCCGCCGAAACGCGGCGCGATCGGTGCATTTCTGCATAAACACGGAAGGAATTATTGGGGTGGCCGATACCTTGCATCAAGCGGCTCATGCTCCGCCACCTGATTTACTTTTGCGAGCAAGCTTTTTGAACTCGAGGAACTTTCCTGTTGCAAGCACTTACACCCTTCCGACATCTGTTCCTCTGCAAATGAATGGCCTGCCAGTCGGGAGGAGCCATCTGTCTGTCGTTTGATCCCGGTCCCGATTTCGGCCACGGTCTTTGGGCCGTTCGTCGAAGAGGTCTGTTGAAACGACCCAAATGTCACTACAGGCTGCGTGTGTGTAGCTGCGTTGTGTAACAGCGGGCCATTTCTTCAGACCGGGCCGGTGTACCGTGTCCGCTCGGTCAGCCGTGGCCGGGTCCGAGCGGAGTGGGGACACTGAAATACGGTGTCCTGTTGGTCAGACGTTAGTTATTGCTGCTGGAATGTTTTGCGTTTTTTTTTTAGGAAAACAGAGAAATTGCGTGCTGTATTTCTTTTATAGGGTGTGACGCTGTGCGAGCTGTTCCCTGACCACTAACCTATCTTCCTCTCCGTGTGCCCCCAGGATGAGCGCGATGCGGCGCCGCTGACTCCGCTGAATGAGGACGCGTCAGAGTAGCCGGGCGCGCGCCACCAAGCCGCCGCGCGCGGCTCCCGCGGCCGCCCGGCGCGCCTCGGCAGGCCGCTCGCGCCGGCCGGCGCTGCTGGCGAGCCGTGCACCCCCGCCACCGCCGCCGGCAGCGCGTCCGAGAGGCCGGAGCCGCGCCGGACGGCGGACCGCGGCGCCGGCGGCCGGCCGCGCCCGCCACACCTCCTCCAGTAGCTGCAACGTGAGTGACGCGCGCGCGGGAGACCGGAGGTCTGTGGGAGGGATACCTACCTGCGGGAGAGCTGGGGTCTTTTTCGTCTCAGCCGCTGCGTCTCGTCCCAGACCGGTAAAAGGAATTCACTGGTCATTGTGTGTCGAAGATTTTGTACTAAAGCTGCATGTGAATCTTTGTAGCTCAAACTAAGCCTGGGACTGTACTTACACTGTTTCGAGATTAAACATGAAGCATCTCCAATTACTAGTTCCTCTTATTACAAGCCCCTGTCCGGCCCACAGGAGAACCTGGACCCCGAGCCGACGGAGGGTTTCACCAGCCTGAAGCCGGGCGCGGCGGCGGTGGCGGCGGCGGCCGCGGCGGCCGAGGAGCAGCTGATCACGGCGGCTGCTCCGCCGCGGCTGCCGCTGCAGCAGGTGGCCCCCGCCCAGCACAACACCACCACGCTGTTCTCGCCGCCCGTGTACCCGCTGGCCGGCGAGGTCACCGCGCTCAGCTCACAGTATGGTGAGTTTGGGGCAGGTCACCGCGCTCAGCTCACAGTATGGTGAGTGAGGCCAGGTCACAGCGCTGAGCTCACGGTATGGTGAGTGTGGGGCAGGTCACGGCGCTGAGCTCACAGTATGGTGAGTAAAGTCAGGTCACCGCGCTCAGTTCACAGTATGGTGAGTGTGGGCCGTGGGGCAGGTCACCACCCTCGGTACACGGTATGGTGATGGGTGAGTAAGGTCAGGTCACAGCGCTGAGCTCATACGAGTATTGGACGGGTCGCTGCCCTCAGATTATAATATGGTGAGTCTCAGATTATGTCCCCCAGTATTCCCATCGCCCGTGTCCGGCGGATCAGGTCATCATAGTATGGTGAGAATGTAGTTCGACCCAGAAAGTCTGCTGGTTCCGCCTTTACATTAATGATATGTTGAGCGCTCAAGAGCTGTGCGCTCCTTTTCAAGCAACTGCCAGTTTTTTTTTAACTCTATTTTTTGGGGGTTAGGCCCTTTCGGTCTAATGAGACCATTTCAGAGCCGGGAGGATGATAGGATATAGGGGGAGACATTGGTCTGGGCAGGCATCCTAGTGAGTCGCCGGGGCTGAGCCCGTCCAGAGGACAGGCCACCCAGCCCCAAGGCACTCACTCGGGCTGCTCGGGAGCAGCGGTGCCGCTCCAAGGGAGCAGCCCGCATGAGATAAAGTTGCCTGTCCAGCCCGGAGGGGGTTGCGGCGTGGAGGAGAAGGATTTCAGTATCCTGAGGATAGAAGCACGGAACGGTGTGAACTCTATTTGACCGGTCACTGTGCTCTGGCACCGTGAGGTGACACCATGAATGAGTGCGAGCTCAGAACGGGTGAGCTGTGGGCTGTCTGTATGCTGCTCAGCTTCTATCCTCACATCCAGCGTTGTATTAGCCCTCATCCACTGCCTGGTACGCTCGGTTCGGTCGCCGGGTCCGGCTTCCTAGGTGGGTCACACGTCATTGGATCAATGATTACACGACCGATCAATGAGTCAGCGCCATCTATTGAGCGGGGGACGAACCTGCAGTCCCCGCTGTCACGGGACGGTGCGCCGTTCCCGGTGTATTCCGACACACTTGCTGGTATAGATGATAAAGTGGCGTCTTTAACGCGCGTTGAAGTTAAGGAGAAAGAGATGCTTCAATGCCGGGCGGAACCCCAGACACATTGGAGCTGTAATTGGAATGTATTGCACGTGGCACTCGGGGTCCTTTGGGGGATGGGCCAAATAGATGGCACGTGGGTCGGCAGTGGTTCCGTGTCTCAGCTCTGATTCAGGCAGGTGCCGAATCGAGTTACAGTCCGCCCTGATATACGGTGAATGTATCAGACCTGGCGTGAGATGCGGAACCAGTAATTATGCAGTGCTCGATTCCTGGAGAGCGCGGCTTGGTGTAAGGCACCGTTCAGTTGCCTGGGTCGGGCTGATTCGTACCGCTGGTAGTGGTTTGAGGGATTGCTACAGCGTGGAAACATGGTGACAAAGTCCCCCTCAACAGACTGTCGAGTGACGGAGGAGCGTACTTGTTACCCTTACCCTTCTTCTTTCCCGAGCTGGCTGCCTTGGCGCAGAGGAGCGCGATGTTTATCCCCTCCCCGCCATCCTCCTTTCTCGGACAGGCTGTAGGGCGGCGAAGGAGCGCGATGTTAACCCCATCCTCTCTCTCGTCGGCAGGCTGTCGGCCGTCTGATGAGCGCGGCGGTCCGGCGGAGGGCACCGACCCGTCGCTGTGGTCGGCACCCGAGCCGATGGCGCTGGTGCCAGCAGAGGGCAGTGAGGAGCTGAACCTGTACGCGCCGGCCGAGTCCTCTGACGGCGAGCAGTGGCAGCAGGCGGAGGACGAGGCGGCCGCCGAGGTGTGGGACCAGTTCAACACCTACTACTTCATCAAACACCTGCCGCCGCTGACGCCCGAGATGCGCGCCCGACACCCGGCGCTGCCGCTGAAAACCAGGAGCAGCCCCCAGTTCACACTGGTGCTCGACCTGGTGAGTCGCCGCGGCCGGTTGGGGGGCCCCGTCCTGTGGGATAACTACCGATATATTAATGTGGCATCTTCGCCATTTGAGCTGACATTTTGCATAACCCGTCCCATCCGGGGAGATGGCAAATACAGGGTGTCCCAGAAGTCTTGAAGCTTTTTTATTTTTGTCGTGTGACCTTGCTATGCCACTGATTAAGGCAAATGACGCCTCAAACGAAAGAGAATGAACTGAAGTTTTGTATTTTTATGCGTAGAGCACCACTTTAGTCAGGCGGCCCCCGTTGTGAGTCGCACAAGATTGAGCACGAGAGATCACGTTCTTCGCTGCCGCCAAGATCTCCCGGTTTGCGAAACACCGGTGTCGCCATGCCCGTTTCTGGTCAGCTTCAGAGCCTTATTTCATGAAGCGAGCCAGGAAACAGAGTATTGGATCTCGGAGAAAACATAAGCAACATAATGATTTACTGATCAGAAAATCTCCTGACACGTTTGCACGCATCCTGCAAAAATAAGGCTCAGCTGCTTGAGCGCGCTAAGCAACAGCCCGTTGTAATCCTTTGATTCGTCGCATTATTATGGGGCTAAAACGAATATCAACCCGTCGCAAATATAACTATGTCGCTAATATTATGTCGCTCGCTTCAGGGAATAAGACTCTGAAGCTGACAAGAAACGGGTATGGCGACACCGGTGTTTCGCAAACCGGGAGATCTTGGCGGCAGCGAAGAACGTGATCTCTCGTGCTCAATCTTGTGCGACTCACAACGGGGGCCACCTGACTAGAGTGGTGCTCTACGCATGAAAATACAAAATTTCAGTTCATTCTCTTTCGTTTGAGGCATGATTCGCCTTAATCGGTGGCATAGCAAGGTCACACGACAAAATTAAAAAAGCTTCAAGACTTCTGGGACACCCTGTATATGCAACACCTCCTGTATTGTTCACACACTGCCAGTACGCCCCCGCCGGCCATGTTGCTCACATCTGGTCCCCGGCCGTGCCGACAGGACGAGACTCTGGTGCACTGTAGCCTGCAGGCGATGGAGGACGCCTCGTTCAGCTTCCCGGTGCCGTTCCAAGGCGTCACCTACCAGGTGTTTGTGCGCACGCGGCCCTTCTTCCGAGAGTTCCTCGACCACGTGTCCAGCATGTTCGAGATCATCCTGTTCACCGCCTCCAAAAAGGTTTACGCCGACAAGCTGGTGGACCTGCTGGACCCACATCGGCGCTACATCAAGTACGTGACACTCCGGGGTGCTCTGAATGATTTGGTTGCTAGATGCTTGGATGAGAATGTTTTGGCACGGGGACAGCTGACTACGTAGTCAGCGTACCATTTAATTGATTTTTGCCAGCATTAGAAGAGATGCTGTAATGGCAGATACTGAAGCCGTTTTTCCCTTGCAACGGAATTTCAACATTGATAACAGAAAGTAGAAATGCGTAATGTCGTCACAGTCTCACGCGCGCGTTTTACTAACCCGACTGTGGCGGTGTGTACGGCAGGTACCGTCTGTTCCGCGACCACTGTGTATGTGTGCACGGCAACTACATCAAAGATCTCAGCATCCTGGGCAGGGACCTGTCGCGTACCATCATCGTCGACAACTCGCCGCAGGCCTTCGGCTACCAGGTACCGAGGGCACACGCGTCCTGATTATCACAGATGGGTTACTTGGGATGCATTGTCGGAATTCGCACCAAGTAGTCATTTTATTTGTAATATCCCATAAATTAGCGCCTTTTTGTCATTACATTGATTTTTTCATATGGCTCACGGTTTGCGAGTGTTTGCAATCTTAATGATGTAGTATCTTTCTGTTTAATATTTCGACGTGATGAATTTATTTGACTCTAATATTACCCGCACATCGTTTACCGATACTCGTGTTAGCTGATAAGTTATGTATCGCATGGCTCAATTTGTAAAGCCGTTTGACGTTGTTCTTTTTTTCAGTTCGAGAATGGGATTCCGATCGAGAGCTGGTTCATCGATAAACAAGACAGGGAACTTCTTAAGCTGATACCGTTTTTAGAGCATCTACACTCATTGGTAGGTATCAGTTCATTTTAACCTTTGCACGTGTGTTTTGGAGACTCATTACTTATAAAGTCCAGGAATGTCTACGGCATTTACATGAGAAGTTGTCACATAAAATGTTAGTATCCATGGCTCCGTACCCATAACAACCGGGTAGCTGCGTTCCAACCATATCTGTCTTCATTCGTCCGCTCATTTCGCCCGTGTGCTCTAGCTCGTCTCGTATAACCTTCCACGAACCTCAGACAATCATATTATAAAGCTCAGCAATATAGATGTCACTGATTGGACTGCGCTTGGAGTGGCTCGCTCTTGGCCAGTCCAGCAATGCGTCTGGCGTTATCCATCTGCTTTGTGTGCAGTTATAGCGCTAAGAGACGCTAAGTTACTGTTCAAATGAACGATGATGTGGTATTTATTGTGAAATGTAAGGAGATCCAGTGGAGAGCTGGTTTATCCTACTTCCTTAAATTTACTACGTCCTCCGCCACCCCACCTACGGCTACCCACTCATACCGAGACTCTTTACTTACAGGGTTGGCATTTTTGCCGGCAAAAACTAGTTTATGCCATTTGCCGGTTTAAACCGGTTTTAACCGGCAAAAAGTGGCAAAAACTGGCAAAAACTAAGAAATACCACAATGCTATGCTTGGACATGAATTTGAACATGAAGCATTTTAAGGAGAATTCGGTGAAAGCTTTATGCTTTCAAACAAAAGTGACATTGACCATTGAAATGCTTCATAACTCAAACATTTTCATGGGCTTTCCATAAGGAGCTAGTAAGATGCCTTTTGGGGTGACAAATGAGCCAGTGCAAGGGTGACTGGGTGAGTCCTGCACAATCAGAAGTGCGAAGGGGCATCTGCCACTGATATGCGCACGGCACCGCATGGCACCTTACTTACCGTGGCTGTCTTGCCCCACTCTCCCCTACATGGAAATACGTTCCGTTGTGGATGTCTACCGACATGCATAGACATTTTAAGCAGGGATAAGTAATGAGGCAGCTTTAGAATGTTTAGTGCATCTACATAACTATAGTTCGTTTTTCTTAAGTTTGCCCCTCACTGTAAACGTCTTTTTGAACACAGCACGAGAATTGCTAGCTGAATTACTTAGAAAACTGGTTGGCGCACATTGTATTGTAGATATGAATAATATTTTCAAAATAAGCTTTGAACACCGACGATTTAACGTTATGTTAAGCGCCGTGCAATTTATTTATTAGTTCAGACATAATTCCTGAGAAGTCGTCTATCCCTGTGGGGCTGTACGTATTGGCAAATACGAGCTACGAGTCTGTGAAATAGTAAATAAATTTGATCAAATTGATCGTCTGTCAAATCTGGTCAAATCAATGTGCGCCAACCAGTTTTCTAAGTAATTCAGCTAGCAATTCTCGTGCTGTGTTCAAAAATACTTTTACAGTGAGGGGCAAACTTAAGAAAAACGAACTATACCAGAAATGCATTTGTACATTACAAATCCATTCCTAACTAGAAAAGTTGTAGGTTTGGCCATCTGAGTTTTAGCCAGTTTTTGCCAGTTCTTGCCACCAGGGTTTCTGCCAGCCGGTTTAAACCGGTTAAAACCACTGGCAAAAAACAGTTTTTGCCACCCCCTGCCAACCCTGTTTACTTATGTACGGCTGCTCTGAAAACGTGACCTGAACTGACAGTAATCCGAAGCCCTCGGAACCCTCTGAGGTCTGAACCGTATTCGACCTCCTAACGACATCTGTCAGAACTAGGAACCGGCCAGGTCTGGTAGGCTCAGTGTCGGTACGCGCGCCGTGACTAGGAAGTATCTTGTAATTCTGGCTCGCGCCCGCCCCGTTCCGTTCCTCCCGATCACTCCAGTAGTAGTCCAGCCTCTGCTTCGCCCTGTTTCGTCCTTGACCAAATGGTATTCCAGCCTCTACACTTCCCCAGTCCATCTCCCCGCGTCTTTCCAATGCACAGTGGGGATTTTTCCGATCTAGCGCCTATTAATTCAAAAAATATTTTTTGGATTTTTGTTTATTTTTTGTGTCAGTAGGGCTAAGAAATGTCTGAATTTTTCATATATGGCATTGTTTTATCTGTATGTCCACAGCAAAACTAGGAAAAATGCGCCCAAAGTTCACACTCATGCGTGATTACTCAATGGGCTCAGCAAGGCCCGAAAGTATAGCTCAATTTCATTGTCCTGTCCTGTTGGTTTTAATCTTGCGAGGTCTTAAAGTTGCATATCGTCTGAAAGGCACCTTTATTAGGAATGGAATGGCAAACAGAAAGTATGCCACAACCTTACTAAGGTCACAAAAATGCCCTTTACAAAAAACCCTTACAGACACCATATTGAAGGAATTGTATTCTAAATAAATGTAGGAAATCAATAATGTTCTCCACACTTTTCCACCCCGAAATATATCCTATCGAATTCGCCACTTTCTTCTGCACAAGACAACGCCTAGTTTGGCTGCCGAAACTTGCCTGAACACGGAATATTCACATTAGAGTATCTTAACACCCCACTCGAGGAGCGCTAGGGCAAACAGCACGATATAGGTATGTTCCGGACATACGCGAATTATTTTACTTCGTGATTTATATGATGCATATTTTCTGAGACACATTCATTAGGAATAGGATGACAAGCGTAAATTATACATACCGTAACCTTATTAACCATCGCACTTGTGGGGAGGGGGAGGGGGAAGGGGTCGGATAAAACCCCATGGTTTTCCGCAAATTACTCGCGCAAAAAGCGGCCGATCGCGCCGAAACTTTCGGTACCCTCTGGATCATCAATTTTACATCTAACGTAAAAATTTCATGACTCTGACCCAACTGACCTTTGACCTGTGGCATATTTCTCGAGACCATGTTTGGCCGGAATCGCGATTCGGCGTATGCCAGCTCACATTATCCGCGGTTTCCAGTCTTTTTGTGGTTTTAAACGTTCAAATATGTGAAATGATGTTGGTGCCATGCATAATGGTGGGAGTCAAGGTCACGTGAAGGTCAAATCAAGGTCATTGACCTTTTGATGACCTTGGTTCACTTTTTCGAGTTTTACTTGTTTCTAGGGTAGTTCTTGGTGCTGATTTCGATTTTAGCAGCCATTTGAATATTTACGAAGTAGTTCTAGTGCCTTCGTTCCATGTTACGAAGCTATCAGTAGTAGGTGATACTTCTATGGATGGCCGGCAGGACGCCTTCTAATTGATCTAACCTGACCTGACCCGACCTGGCCTAAATGCATAAAGACATCGTCTGTGATCAAAACTAACATGAAATTCGTGATCAGCACCCCAAAATACCCCGTAACACCCTAACTTTGCGAAGTTTCAAGAGGTCTCGATTTCCCAACTCTAGTTGGGTCATTAAACCGACTTGGAAAGTCAGCTTATGACCTTGGACTTTGAAATTGGATATATTCGGCCTAATTTCGTCATAGGCAGCACGCTTGACTTTTCCGCGAAGCTCTAGCTTGATCAGGGGCCAAACGGCTGAGAGGGGGTCCAATTGAACCCCCTATACTATGTTGATTATGCACATTTACAGGTAAAATTATCACCAGGACACACCAGCCAACATCTGTGCACAATCTGGCTACAATTCTACCTATGGTTTGCCCTCTACGAATAAATACGTGCTAGATCGGAAAAATCCCCAATGTGCAATGGTAGCCCAGCCTCCGACCCTCTCCAGCCCATCTCCCCGCGTCTGTCTAATGGTAGCCCAGCCTCCGACCCTCTCCAGCCCATCTCCCCGCGTCTGTCTAATGGTAGCCCAGCCTCCGACCCTCTCCAGCCCATCTCCCCGCGTCTGTCTAATGGTAGCCCAGCCTCCGACCCTCTCCAGCCCATCTCCCCGCGTCTGTCTAATGGTAGCCCAGCCTCCGACCCTCTCCAGCCCATCTCCCCGCGTCTGTCTAATGGTAGCCCAGCCTCTGACCCTCTCCAGCCCATCTCCCCTCGTCTGTCTAATGGTATCCCAGCCTCTAACCCGCCCCTCCCCGTGTCTGCGGACAGAACGAGGACGTCCGGCCGCACATCCGGGACAAGTACCAGCTGCACGCGCTGCTGCCGCCCGACTAGCGCCGCCGCCGCCGTCTGCCGTCTGCTGACCGACCCACCTGCCTGCACGGCGCCGCGCCGCGCCGGGAGAGAGTCCGAGAGTGAGAGAGAGGGACAGCGCGCCACCGCTCTGTTTTGTCACATGTACAAAACATGTGACATGTTTTGTCACATGTTGGTGCGTCGTTGTTGGTTGTTTGGTCGGCGCCGCCCGGGCGCTACTGAGGAGTCTGGTGGGCGCAAAGCGGGCGCCGCGACAGGAGCGGTATGTGTGCGGTCACCGGTCCCCGCGCGCACCTCCGTCGGACGCCCTCACCATACCCAGTGCACGCGCAGAGGACGCCCGTGGCCGCGCCGCCACTCTGACATTGTTGGCGCACGTTCGAACACTTGTACAATATTTTAGCAAATAAAGAGGACGATTTTATCGCTGTTGGCACTGACCAAGTGCGGAGCCTTGTATCCAACCGACTGAGGTTACAGTGCTCGTCTGTGTGAATGAATCGCTGCGATGTTTAATATTATGGAAATGCTCCGAGTCTTTGAGTTGTGTGTGCCCGTGGGATCGGCTGGATTAGGCGAGTTGTCAGCTTATTTGGAAGGTAGCTCAGGCTGCGCTTATATCTATCGACCTGAAAGAACATCCAGCAAAAGGACAACATGTTTGTATGGTTACTTGGCGGGTCTATGTTTGTCATTGTTTGTCCGTGGACCGTATGTTTGACATCGGAATGTCGGACGAATGAAGCTGGGTTTTAATCATTTTGTGTTGCACTTTTTTAAGCTATATAATGCTGCAGCTTCCAGATATCAGATGCCAGATATGTGTGCGTTTATGTATGTCGGTATCTTTTCACTCAGGTCCGATCGACGCCCTTCGCCGTCGATCCGGCTCCACTTCGGCGAGTAGTGAATGGTCTCCGATCTTGAGCTATGGCAGCCGTCTCTCTTTCTCTGACTTCGATTGCCATCTCCAGACTGCCATTTATTGGGATAAAAGTAAGCGATACTGGCTGATAAATGGATAAGCATAAACTATAAAGTCCTCGGCTCGGCATGCAAAAGGTTTTCTCTGTGGTGGATGGATGCAGATTGGTGGCTACGAAAGAAGAGTTCTCGTGTTCATATCAATATTAGTCAGCTAATGAGAAATTACGCTTGGAAAATCATGTTTAGAAAGAATCTAAGCTATAACACACCAAATCATGCTCGTCAGCCCATTCGGCTTGTGAAGATTTGTAATTGTTCAACAGTGCTCACAATTTAGCTGCGGTTTCCCTTCACTTCGGCTACCGAATTTGACGCGCGTTGCGCACGACCACTTTTCGCCAATCAACAATACCTGTCTGGAAGGGAAGGCGGCAGGCGCAGGCTGTTGAGGCTGTTGAGGTGCGTGCTGTCGTTGAGAAGGATAGTATGATGACAAATATTTACTTTTGGTTAGGTAGTTTAGTTCATTTTGTTTCGGAGGTGCCCATGTTATGCTGTATGCTATTTTTCAGGTTATACATAGTCTGTACCTCCCGCATTTCTCATATGTTGTTTCAGTGTCAGTGTCACCGCGGTCTCAGATCTCGGGCTGCTTCCTGTGAAGGCCCTTGAAACATTTTAGTTGTAGGCTCTCTATATCAATATTCAGGCTAAATATGGTTTCGTGATTGCAGATTAAATGAAATACACTTTTTATAAATTTCATGTAAACCTTTTGAATGTAAGGGTTCCTACAGAGCCTCTGCTAAGCAGAGCTTGTTTTGTTGGCCCTGCCCTCTACCCTCTCCCTCTGATTGCACAATTCCTGGACCTGATCTATGGCATAATTTGGAGTCCAAAGTCTAACGTACGCACTTAGCCGTGCATGGCCGGTTCTCCCACTGACCTCACCAAGCTACAGGCCAGCTGCCAGCCTGCCACCAACTTATGGTTATTTTTGGGATAAGTTGGAATTTGGATTCTTTCAGAGTAATTTGACTTGCTGCACTGTTTTAACATTCCCCTGCTTCTATCACAAATTCATGTAATTCAATGCTCCTTGGCATACATGTGTCAGCATCATATCAGCTTCTGAATTTCAGATTTTTGCTGAAGTTGAATATCAATCTAGTAAATCTCATGGGATCATTCATGAGATGTAGATATTGGGCACACAATAAAATGATCTTACAGCTGGTATGCCTACTGCCTTAAAACACCAAATTTTCCATTACTATTTGAATTTGAGACTTCAGTAGTGACTGACTTCCCAGTAGTGATAACTGACCCAGCGATAACCGACTATGATAACTGACATTATATGACCAATGTGAATTGTGTGCCTAAAACATATTTCAAGTTATTGTCTCTGAATGCTATTTATGGCTGGCTAAGTTTTTTTTTAAATAAATGTTGTGAATATGACTAATTACTGGCTATTTATGTGCATCTCTGGCATTTTACCTTTTTTTGTTGTTGTTTATGATTTGTTTTCTTTCTTTATTCCAGATTCTAACAACTGAAGAACACCAATAGCAGTTGCATTGTGAATTAAATATTTGAAAAGATTTTGCTATGGCATAACTTTTGCAAGAGATGCATGGTGTGCTTTATGTAAAATGGTATTAAGGTAGTGAATTTAAGTAGCAATGCCTAGAATTGTAGGCAAAAGAGTTGTTGGGATGATCATCAGGTCAAGAAAATCTCTGAGGAAGGAAGGAGTGTTGGTAAGTACCATTTTTACATGCACCATGAACACATCATATACCCCACTAACCCGGCGCGGACCGTCCCCTGGCCCAGTCAGCCCCGGTGGCCCACTGTTGGCCGGCCCGGTGGCCCAGTCAGTCCCAGTGGTTTGATCCGGGCCAGCCCCAGTGGCTCGATCCCAGTGGTTCGATCCGGGCCAGCCCCGGTGTCCCAGTGCGGTCCGGTCCCAGTGGTTCGATACGGGCCAGCCCCGGTGTCCCAGTGTGGTCCGGTCCCAGTGGTTCGATCCGGGCCAGCCCCGGTGCCCCAGTGCGGTCCGGTCCCAGTGGTTCGATACGGGCCAGCCCCGGTGTCCCAGTGTGGTCCGGTCCCAGTGGTTCGATCCGGGCCAGCCCCGGTGTCCCAGTGCGGTCCGGTCCCAGTGGATCGATACGGGCCAGCCCCGGTGTCCCAGTGTGGTCCGGTCCCAGTGGTTCGATACGGGCCAGCCCCGGTGTCCCAGTGTGGTCCGGTCCCAGTGGTTCGATCCGGGCCAGCCCCGGTGTCCCAGTGTGGTCCGGTCCCAGTGGTTCGATCCGGGCCAGCCCCGATGGCCCAGTGCGGGCCGGCCCCTCTGTCGAGTGTCCGCCGCTCGATACGGCCGTTGCCGGGTCGTTGTTTGGGTTTCGCCATCGGCGAGGGTGCGCGCCCTGCCCGTGTGGGGGCCTCCGTCAGTGCATACCTGGCCGGCCGCCGCCGTCGGCTCGCGGTGTACGGGCGAGTGACCGACGAGCGTCGCCCGTCACGGCGGTCAGATGTGCCGTCTGGGCGTCACGGGTGCCCCGTCACGGCGTCACTCGCCGCGCGTTACGTGTCGCCCGGTCTCGGTGCTGGGAGCGGAGTGGAGCCGTCACTGTTCCGCCCAGGGGCGGTGACAGCGCGCCCCGGATGGGGTCTCCTCTGGTGGGTATTTGGATGGGTTAGCTGTGTCGGTGGGTGTATTTCGAGTGTGTTCTAAGCCAGGGGCACGCAGTTGGTGCTGGGATCCCGCGGCAGGGAGGCGGGCGTCTGTCGCAGATGACGCGTGCGGTGGCCTGTCATACAGCACCTGTGTGGAGTCACAACCCAATAGTGACTAATGCATAGGTCGGGTTCTTTGTGCAGCTGTGAGCAAACAGGCTGACGGCGCTACAATATGAATGTATCGAGGTGGGCGTGTCTAGTTCACCACCTATCACGACTCGTAAATAGGGAAGTTGTAGCGATCGTATGTATACAGAGTTATGATGGCTTGCTGTATCAACAATTCACTTGCTTCACTTTCACCGTTTGCAAGCACCTCTTAACGTTCGCTTTCGTGAGTATTGAATGTGATTTGAATAGCAATCGCGATTTGCATGTTCATGCTTCCGATTCACTCTTGGCCCAGCGTGTGTTGGGCGTTTTTCCAGCGTTGCCGTCAGTCCGGCCCCCCGCTATATTCCGCAGTGGTCTGGCGGCTCTGTGTTCCGGTAATCCCCTGCGTGTCAGGGCCACCCCGCGGACTGGGCCAGTCCGGAGTGGCGTCATCCGCGCCCGCACGCCGTCCGTGCTGTTTATAGTGCTGTACCCGGGCAGATGCGGCGGCGGTGGCTGGTCGAACCGCGTGGTCATGGCTCTTCTGGGCAGTCTGTGCCGACCGTCGGGCTGCAGCCCGGTCGCCGGGCGCCTCTCACCGCCGCGGGACCGGTCGGGCGCGGACGGGCGCCACACTCCGGCGTGACGTCAGAATCCCACCGTTCGCGGCGCGCTGCGGCGGCCCTGACCGTGGCGCGCGTCCTCCTCCGTCCGCCCTCCCGCCGCCGGGGGAGCTTTCTCTCGGCGCTGACCCCTCGCCGTTGGTACTGGTCTGAACAGGCTGAGTCAGTCCCATGACTGCGTGTTTGGTCTGGCCGGCGATAGCGGCTATCGGATGTCCATTTTGTCACTCCTATCGCGCCGATATATTGTGGGAAGGACCGGGCCGGCGGCAGGAAGCCTGCGGTCTCCGACCTTGATTCGGGGCACACGGTTTGGGTCGGCCACTCCGTGTTCACACAGTGGTTTTGACTGGTCCAATCGATGGTGGGCGATAACTTTATGTAGTCACTGCGAATGGATGTTATGTAACCTGATGAGTTATTGACTAATGTGTCGTGGCCAGTGTCATTCTTGTTCTGTTTCAAGCTCTCATATCCCTAGAACTAAATTTCTTTCCTTTGCTGTTTTTTTGATGTATTTCTTAAGCAGTTTCAATGACGAATGATTTGTTTATCCTAACAGACCGACGAGTGAAACGCCGCACCGTTGCGGATTTGCCGGAATTTGTGGCCCGTGTGCTGGTGTGTTGGTTCCGAGGCATGAAGGCTGAAACAGACTCTTTCCGCGTTCAGGAAATCGCATGCGAGAGCCTATTCAAATACATTAGTTTCCTCTCGCATCGATCGCACGCATCTCTCGCACTACCCGCATCAGGAAATCGTATCTCCCTGACAGTCTTCCCGCGTCGTCCTGACGCCTCGCTCGCATCGCCCGCATCACCCGCAAGCATCGCCCGCACCTCTCGCTCGCATCGCCCGCAGCGACATCTTTTCGGGATGCGAGAGAGTTGAAGTTCAGTCAACTTTTCCGTGCGGGCGATGCGATTTTGCAGAGGGCAGCACGTCCGCCATCTTGGAATGTAAACAAACTTGACCTTGGCAATTTATATTGGTGGATGCGATTGATGCTAGTGCGTATTTTCCATGTCTTAGGGTCTAATTAGCACTTAATTGGGCATAGGTTAATGCTATTTTCTAAAGACATTCGTAATTCTATAAATTTAGCCGTTATTCGTGCGTCAACATCTGCAAAATGATTGAAAGAAGATCTGCCTGACGGAATCAAGTACCAGCTACCTACCTCCTCAACCTAGCCAAAAGTAGGTAAGTACCAAAGTAACCCTAGCTATTGATTACCTTCGTGATTTATAAAGATAATAATTACTTGATCTTTTTGATTGCAGGATGAAGTTTCCGTTGTTTTTAGCTACACTTAACTTCAGGAAAATCGCTAGTGCTAACCGTTGCTGGCCTACTTGAAATAGATAAAAAAAAACACCTTCTAGAAAGGGTTTTGCATAGCCTTTGCTGCCTTTTCCGATAAATTCCGCCAAAATGATAATAGAATTGGCCTCAAAGTAGCCAGGAGCCTAAGCCAAGATTGCACATCAAAGAGCTCTCTTAGTCTCTTGAATCAAAGGCAGGAAACTCATTTCATGTAGGAAGATACGGAGACAATTGACATGAAAACTGGGCTTCTGTCAAAAGAATGGGACGGGTGCTGAGTCTATATTCTATGTCCATCTTCCACCTGCTCCTTCTGGCTTCTTCCCATCCCCTTCTCCCCAAGGTCAGCACCATTTCTTTGTTTTTCTCTCCCCTCTTTCCTCTTTTTGTTTTTTTTTTCTCTGAAAGCCATAACAATATTTTGTTTCTTATTCTCATAAGTTTATGAGTTATTAATACGATTTTTCAGAACGAACATTGTTTCTATTACCGACAAACCTTTCAGATCATGCTGATTGCTGCCTATACTCAAGTCTCAAACGCACTTTACCGTGAATGCCATTTCATTGGCGAGTGACCAAACTTTGCTTGATTGGGCAATCGTCTATACTGTCTAGCTAGGTACTTATTCGTGATCTTATCAACCTGTGGGGTTCCATTGTTCCAGCACGTTCCAGCACTCGGATCAGCCCACAACCGCTGTCCACAATAGCCCGACTGTCACCACACCGCCAGTTCCGGACGAGTCGGTGCACGGTGGTGACTGCCCAGTGCCCACGACCCACGTTACTCAGGGACTAACGAGTATGGGAAGCATCCTGGAATCGGAGGGAGGGGCAGTATTCCGCTGGCGATGCTTCTGCGACTGACCCCACGGGGAACGACCAGACTACCATGACAACCGTCAACGCAGACAACGCGAACATCACTACTAGACGCACCTCCTTCATCCAAGCAAACATCACCAGTCTAGCAGCAGCCGTTAACCCGCGCCTAGCCGGTGCTCGGCGCCAACCGCGCCGTGCCCGGGGATCTGTGGACACCCACCCCTTCTAGCTCGGCTCTTGGGTAGCATAGGGAAATGTGGTTAAAGGCTTTCAAAGGAGCGTCCAAAACCAAGACGATAATATATCGGTCATTTTTTAAAGTCAAGTCGAAGTTCAGGTCACCAGAGGTTATCAAAGGTAAAATGTTGCATATTTCGATATTTTCGAAACACCGGTGCAAAACTTGGGAACCAAGAGAACTTCAGCGCAACGGAAAAGCGCATTCGATCATAGCCATTTTGACATTGTTTTGTGATAAGCTCTCAAATTTGACGCAGGATGAAGGATTTAGATCATAGAGGACAAATCTTGACTTAGCCGTTTTAAGGAAAACCCCTTTTCTGTAACCTCTCCTGACTCGATAAAATTTGTAATGACAGCATCGCACTCCTCTCGTCGAGACGCGTCGAATCAACTGTAATTTGACCTCAGGTAAAGGTCATAACCATAACCGGAAGAGGTCATCATCTGACTAATACCTGACAGCTCATGACCTTGAACTGAGGCCAACTTTTCAAAATGACACTTCTCGTCGAGAGGAATCGAGTTAAAAATGTTTAAAGCTATTTTAGGAGTTCTGGCCTCTGTAGGCTAAGCTAATGATCGGAATTTGACCTTGGTCATTACCGCATACCGGAGCAAGCGCTGAAAGGGCTATCAAATAGGCAGTGCGCTTTTCCATCGTGCTGTAGCTCTATTGGTTTCCGAGTGATGCGTTGTTTTCTAATGTTGAAATAGGCAACATTTTATCTTTGATGACCTCTCGTGACCCCGTTTGATCTATTTAACCTAAAAAATGGCTGCAATGACTTCGTCATGATTTTTGACGTTATTTGGATTGCCACTTACCGCTTCGTGGGCCAGGAATCAAGTAAGACGTTAGACGGGTCATGTTCGGTCCCCCAGGGCCCGGCGCTATTGGTGCCGAGCAGCGGCCCGGCGCAAGATGTCAGATCTTGTTAGAACAATGCGGTTGAATTTGGACTACAATAAACCGACACATTGTACGATATACGTTTGTAGTTTGCCGTCAAAAGGTGAGGCATTGCATGAAAACAAATTTTCACACAAATTTAGATACCTACTTGTACTTCTTCTACATCGATACCTTGAGTTCCCTCTCGCACGGACAGTGCGATCGATGCGAGAAGTCGATGCGAGAACTGCGGGTGATGCGGACGAGCGAGTCGTGCGAGAAGTGCTTGCGAGACATACGATTTTCAGATCCGAGTCGTGCGAGCGATGCGAGCGAGCGATTGATGCGGAAAGAGTCTGTTTCAGCCTTGACCCGGCGTACCGGCCTGGCTCGACTGGTCACTGGCTCACAGAAGCCCCGCCGTGGCGCTCAAACCAGCTCCTCCCGGAAAGCCCGTCACTCCAGTGCCGCTCAAACTCGTTTCGGTGACGCTGTGTCGTCAATGGGTCGTGACGTCACTGCGGTGACAATCAGCCGCCGTTTGAGTAATGCAACGTATCGTTCCAATTTCCGATTGACATCACTGTTATGTATCTGACTTCCGCCGCGGATAGCGCATTCCGCGTGATAAGTGTGCTGCGAGCACCTCTGCCGAGCCGGCTGGCGGCGCGGTCCGAGCCCGGTTGAAGCGCCCGATGGCGACCTTGTCCCGGCGGCAGTGCGGCCGGGCTGGACGGGAAGCGGCGCGGAAAGGGCCGGTGGCCGGCGGCCGTGAGCCGGGCCGTGACGACAGGGAAATGTGTCGGCGCCGACACCGCACCGACCCGACCGGGTGCCGCTCCAGCTGACCGAACGGGGAGGTCGGGACACTGGACAGGGCCGGGGTTCTAGGCTCTGTGACTGCCACGACGACAATGGGTGTGCGCTATGCATGCATGCATGGCACTGCCAAATTCTATTGGGGTCGCTTGCAATATCAGCCGACTCACGATTGCAATATGCCCCGGTTTACAGCTCCATCTGTCCTTATTTTGTTGGTACTGTGGATCTATTTATTGCTTCTATTTTCGATAGAGCTATTACGAGTATCGGCCGTTCCCCGGCAATAGAGGAGGTATTGGGAGGGCTCACTCTCCGTCTCCGCCGACGTCATCGGGGGCGTGTCGGTGACGTCACTGACGTTGTTATGAGTTCGCCGATCCTCGGACGGATGTTTGGGCTCCCGGGTGATGTACGACTCGTGGCCGTGCTCTAATGAACAGACCCGCTGTTCCGCGCTCCCGAGCTGGCTGAGCTGTTGGCCGTCTATTTCTAGCTTATTCGTAGTTGTTCAGAAGTTGATGCGGTTCGCACTCGTCCGACTAGTTGAGCTTTCTGAGAAGTCCTGAGATCTCTGACGCTCTGTCGCCGGGTTTTGCAGGTGTGTATTGCTGTTGTACATTTGATCTCCTGCGATAACTTGCTATGATATTAGAAAAACCTTGGATGTGGGTGAAGGTTAAAGCAGCATCCTATCTCCTATCCAATCTACTAGTCGGGACCGTATCCACCGAACTTGGGGAGAGTTTGCCGAAATGATTGCCAAGGTGCGCAGTTCTGATGAAACAGTTTCGGAGAAGGCCGCTTTCTGCGGCGTATGGAGGCAATTTTTGGCCACACTTCTGTGTATCGCTCCCTGAGGGGGCTCAGGATTCAATAATGTGGCCTGTGATCTCACACTGGTCATCGGAATATTTCGCAAGTCACAATCAATGTAGGGTAAATTTGGCTTGTAAAGCCACCATCGCGATCGGTGAGTTAGTATCAAACATAAGGAGGGCAACAATCACTTGCAATGTTTTTTTTTCTGATCTATAATACCTACTATGCGTGTCTCGGCTGTGTTCAGTGGATGCGTTGTTCCGCGCCGGACGGCAGTTCCAGACCCACATCCTCCCTGTGCCGGCTGTTGTTTGGACGGCTTTTTCGCCGTGTTGGTGTGTTGGCGTGACTCGGCGTCGTGCGCCGGTACACGCTCCGCGCCCGTGGTCGCCCGCCGTGACAATGCCTTCTGTGTGACTCACCGTCGACGGAGCGCCGCCGCGCCGCCGCCGTCTCCGTGGCTGAATGGAGGAACCGATCGGCTGACCACTGGACCTTGACGCTGCCGTAGGTTTCTACCGTTGGAGCTGGAATTCAACTACTGATCGCTCCTACAGCTGGACCCGGGGTCCAACTGTCATTGGTCCCTGTAGCTGGATGTTAATCAACTGCCATCGGTGCCCGCGGGCCAATTTCCGCATTGAAACGGACTTCAACATTTGTTGCACGCACCTGTTGCGGCTGTTTTGGAATCCTGCGAAATGGATGGTGCGTAGGATGCTCGTACTCCAAACTCTCTGGGCTCTGGCCTAACGTTTATTAGACTTGCGCGTCAATTTTTCAGTAGTAATTATCCGGCAGCCGGATTATGTCAGAAGGCAAAATATTTCTATTGTTAATTCTATCAGTCTAAAAAGAAAATGAAAGTTGCTCGTATTATGCGCTTGGAAGGGAGACTTACGTAACCGCGTTTTGGCTTTTTGTTTGTTTGCTATATTCGTTTTAGTATGGACAATTCACGTAAGTTCAAGTTTTTTTTTGCATTATTTGCATCTGCATTTCGCTGGGGCTTATTCCTGGCCGTGTTTTTCTCGTCCTGTGGCCGCGGTTCGGGGCAGCTGATTGCGCTGCAGACGCGCCGTATGCTCCTCCACTGCCGGCGCGTGACCTGCCTGTGATGCCTTCCTTTTGTGCCGTGATATTGGGCCGCCGCAGGCCGCCACCCCTCCTCCCCGCCGCCTCAGCTCTGCTCGGGCAGCCCGCGAGCGGCCGTCCATGCATTGACAAGAGCGGCGTCGATCGGCCGCGGCCCCGGCGGGTATTGACCTTGCGACCCGACGACGGTCGCCGCCGCCGCGGCCGTCTTCGTCGGCGTCGGCGCGCGCGGCTGCGCCCGCCATCGACCGTCGTCGGCGACACGGCGCGCGCGCTGGGCCGGCGCCGCTGGGCCGGCGGCGGAGACCATTGCGCCGGAGTCGGCCATGGCGTATGCGGCGGAGAGCGGGCCGCCGGCGGCGCCCGGCGACCAGTGCAGCGTGTCGATCGCGTCCGGAGCGCTGGAGGCCGACCGAGTGTCGGAGGACGCGTCGGCGGCGTCCGAGCGGCCCCCGGGTGACGGCGATGACGGCCGACCGGGGTCCGCTGACGGCGATGACGGCCTGGAGGAGGTGGTGCTGACGTCCCCGGCGCGTCGGCCGTCAGCGGTGGTGACGCGCCGCCGGCTGCCGACGCCGCTGCTCTCCTGGAACCTCTGCTGTCACGGCTGGGAGACGCTCTGTCGCTGGTGGTTCGAGGTAAACGCCCCCGTCACCCGCTGCTGACAGCTGTCACAGTCAGCTAGGAACTTGTCCGCTGTCATACTGTCAGCTAGGCTGTCAGCTGTTAGCAAATGACTGCCCATCTCGACCTTGCTAGCTGCCTGGCTCAAACGTGATCAAACGTGGCTCAAACTGGCTCAAACGTCTCCTGGAACCTCTGCTGTCACGGCTGGGAGACGCTCTGTCGCTGGTGGTTCGAGGTAAACGCCCCCGTCACCCGCTGCTGACAGCTGTCACAGTCAGCTAGGAACTTGTCCGCTGTCCTACTGTCAGCTAGGCTGTCAGCTGTTAGCGAATGACTGCCCATCTCGACCTTGCTAGCTGCCTGGCTCAAACATGAATTGAGAATCTGGCTTTTCAATACCATGCTATGATCATAAAAGCAGCTATTCATAAGTCATTTATAACATATCAAGTGTTTTGTCTCTGCTGTATGGCTTCATAGCTATATTGGGCATGATATACCCAGTTTTACCCGTCTATAACGACTGGAAGTTCACGTCTGCGGTTCATTTCAAGAAGCAGCGAAAACGTGTTTTCCCTTCTCGAGTGCATGGTTATCGGTGCGGAAGTGGATTGATATTGTCTGTCATTGGATGTGCTTCAGCTCATGCGCTAACAATGGCCATCGAAATTCCAAGAATGCTCCGTTTATAGCTCCATTGTCCTGAGTTCCGATTTCTGGTTCAGCGAACCCTCTACTCGAGCCGAGCGGGGCTCCCAGTGAGGCTATTTGACGGCCCCGTCAGCTGATTACACCTACTTAGTGAGCGATAGGCCGATTCAACGGAGTGCGGGCTGTGACCGATTCAGCGGCTTCTGTCTCCTCACCAGATCCAGCGGGTGTAGACAGATTGGTATTGTCTGGCGCGGCGGATTTACTGGCCTTGTCTGCTGCTGGCGTCCGACGTCTCACTTCTTGACCCTGTTCATTTGCAGTGGTCGGTCCAACGGTGCCGTTTATTGCTCAGGCCCATCATTGGCAATAGCCGATTCAACGTTTCATGCTGCTGGTCAGGCATAGACTAGAGCAGTGGCTAGTTCACCGTTTCTGCCCTATCACCAGACCTATCCACAGCCATGGTCGAGTGGCCTGGTTTCGTCCCTCTCCGGACCGCCGCCGGCTCTCAGAACGGCCCAGTCCTGAACTCCCGGAGCTCGGTCCGGACCCGGACTCCCGGAGCTCGGTCCGGACCCGGACTCCCGGAGCTCGGCCCGGACTCCGACTCCCGGAGCCCGGTCCGGACCCGGACTCCCGGAGCTGACCGCCCGGCTGCGGCTCCGCTCCGACTAGCCCGGCTACTCTGGGAACTGTCCCGCCCTGTCTGACAGACAGGACACGGCCGGCTGACGGACCGGACACCGCCGGCTGCCGCCCTGTCTGACGGACCGGACACGGCCGGCTGCCGCCCCGTCTGACGGACCGGACACGGCCGGCTGCCGCCCCGTCTGACGGACCGGACACGGCCGGCTGCCGCCCTGTCTGACGGACCGGACACGGCCGGCTGCCGCCCCGTCTGACGGACCGGACACGGCCGGCTGCCGCCCCGTCTGACGGACCGGACACGGCCGGCTGCCGCCCCGTCTGACGGACCGGACACGGCCGTCTGACGGACAGGACACGGCCGGCTGCCGCCCCGTCTGACGGACAGGACACCGCCGGCTGCCGCCCCGTCTGACGGACCGGACACAGCCGGCTG